TTTCAATTAGCAGTGGCATCGTGCTCGAACTGTGAAAAAAAATAGAGTTGTAGACTCTATAACTACAAACCAGTCTCACGTCTGTGTTGCCATGGAGAGTTTCATACACAATCAAATAATGACATTTGCGAAAATATAAAAGCTGATCAACAAAACGCATTACAGAATCAAAAAAACAAAAAAGCTGTGTATTAAATCTGCTCAAAAAGCGTGATTTTCTTAAAGAAGTTGTCACCTCGGCTACGTAGCAGACGTCATACATACTGATTTTGCCAAAGCCTTTGACAAGGTATTGCTCACACAACTCCTGAACAAGTTACAAGCATATGGCATCAGAGGCAGATTATTACTCTAGATAGAAAAATTGATAACAGGACTTTAAAAAAGAGTAGTCATAGATAAATACACTTTGGAGTGGAAATATGTTTATTAAAGGGTCCACAAGGCAGAGTACTTGGTCTTCTATTGTTCGTCATCTTTTTCTTTATCAACAACATACAGGATAGCATTGCTCACCACATCAAATTATAGGCAGACGACAGTAAATACATTGTTATTATCAAGTCGACGTTATACTCAAAGAGTGTATGGTAGTTACTCAAAGCAACTACTATTGAAAGTCCTAGATAGTACCAACACGTTAACCCAACGTTGTTGTAAAGTCAAAAATGTCAAATAATATACCAATAACGCGCAAACCATTGATGCAACGTCAACCAACTTTTTTGTTTCAAGTTGGATTTTTAAGGTTACATAAAGAAATTTATAATTTCTTTATGTAACTTAAAAAAATAAAAAAGAAATATATAAACATATTGTTTTTGATATTAAATAAGTATTTATAGTGGCGATAAAACAAAAAAAGAGAAATCTAGTCAAAAGTATTTAGGCTTTTGTATAGACAACCGAAAAGGGGGATCTTACTCAAAATAAAAAATAGTTGATGAACTTAATTTTCAATTTCATTATCAGATTCACGCAACTAGTTGTTTTATCATTAGTTCATTCTTTAGTCTTAGATTCTATATTCAAGTCAGTATCTGCTTGCTCCTTAAATGCCAAGATATCACTGAAAAAATTTTGATTGTAAAGTGTATTTTTAATGTATGTCGAAGGTAAAAACTAACATTTGATCTGGTAAATACTAAAACAAGGTAGCAGTTCTCGCTTAGGCATTCTTAAATACTTTAAGATTCATAAGAGACACTAAGATCAATATCGTTATCTCAATCGCTATCATAAAAAAATAACAAGAATCTCATTTATATCAGTATAGTTTGTTCTATTTTTAGTCAATTTTCAAAATTCATTTTTGAGTGATCTATAAATGCAATTAACAAACGATTTGAAGCATCAAATATTATTTTCATTTCAGAAATATATTTTAAGTTTTCCCCACCTGCTATAGATGTTTTGGAATATTCAAAATTGTTGATGAAGAGCTATGCGGGTCTCTCGTCATTTAGGAACAGATTTTATTAACCGCAGTGACGGGTCACTCGTTACAAAAAGGTTAAACATTTTTGCTGTAAAAAAACATTGCAGAATACTTAATTATTTTTTCATAAATTATTCATAATTTTATAATAATATATATTTTTGCAACTATTATATATATTTTTATATTAATATATATTTTCGTTATAAAATATCAACCAATATTGCATGATATATAAAATTATTTAACAATATATTAATAGTCACAAGAGTTTGTTTGAGTTTTTCAATGGCTGTGGAGTCGGAGTCGGAGTTGGAGTTCTGGAGTCGGAGTTGCGACATTCTTAGCGGATCGGAGTCGGTAAAGGAAATCGCGACTCAAACTCTAATAGTAAAACTTGTCGGTATTGCACGTGCATGTACAATATATTCAACCTTCAAAAAATTTTCATACATTTGGCAAAAAAAAAAATGATAAATCAATTAATTATCGTGTAATATCTTTTGCTTTGGAGTCGGAGTTGGAGTTAGAGTCAGAGAATCGTTGAAATTTTCGTACTCTGAAAATTTCAACGATTGGAGTCGGAGATGGTTCATTTGTTTTTACGACTTCACAGCCCTGAGTTTTCGTATATTTTACTAAGAGTTACTTCTGAAACTTGTTTTGAACTTTTCATTTTTATTAAGTTTAGTAAGTTCAATGTAAGTTTTACTCTTTTGTCATCTTTGCCTCAATGTTCAAAGTAGTTTATACTTTTTTCTAGGTCTTCTTTGGCTAACTGTGTTTTAATTTGATGTTAAAATTCATTCAATACACTGTTTTGAATATTTTCTGCATTTTTTTTTTTTTTTTTTTGCTATGAAATTTATTTAGTAACTATGAAACCTTTGTTTAGCAATTTTGTTTTTTATGAGCGTATATATATTTATTATGTGAACTTTAAGAAAATTTGCAATCTTTTTTTATATTTTACCTATTTGCATTAAAATACTGTTATATATTTTTGGTGGAAATATTTTAAGTGTATTGTTTATGTAACTTTTCTGAGTTCTTTGACAATTTGGACTGTTATTTGTTCGTTTTAGACTGTAGTTGTTCTATATATTTATTGTAAACAACTACTACCAAGTTACTGTTTTTTTTTTCTTTATTTTTGCTTAGTTCTTAATGTCATATATCTTTTTTTTTAATGTAAGAGACCGAATAAGTTTTAAAAACTTTTATGTCATCTTTGACTATCAAGGCTGTGTTTATTAAAAACACAGCTTTCATAGTCAAAGATGACCTAGAACATGCATTGATTTAAGTATTTCTTTTCCTTGCTATGTAATTTATTTGCTTACTAAAAAATTTGTATACATGTTTAGTTTATTAAAACAAGCTTTTAAAAATATATTTGTCTATTAAGTGTAGGCGTCATGTGAAGGCGTAAATTATTATCATGTGAAGGTGTATATTATTATTATGTGAAGATGGATATTATTATTATGTGAAAGTGTATATTATAATCATATGAAAGTGTTTATTATTATTATGTGATATCCCAGCTAGCACACTTATGTTGGGCCAACGCATGTAAATACATCGCGAACGTCGGCTGTTTTCTCCGATGCAAATACAACATTGATCTAATGTTAGTTATATCGTATTTATATTAATAAAAACCTTAATAAAGACGTGATTAAAAATAGTTACATTAATTCAAAGTATGTAAAAACATCTCAAAAGTTGACTATTTTTCCGATCTAAACACAACGTCGATCTAACGTATATGAATAAACGTTGACCAAAGGTGAATAACCCCACATTGATCTAATGTATATGGATTAACGTTGATCTAATGTTTATAAACCAACGTTTGTCCAATATTTAAGGATTAACGTCAGGTTATATATATTGGATTAACGTTGATCCATATTCATAAGAATAACGTTGGATTAAATACAGTGGATCAACGTTGTGTTTGCATCGAGAAAAGGCAGATGTACAAATATATACTTTTATAATTTATAAGTATTATTTTTCATCCAAATAATTTAGTTGATTATGGAAATATATTTTGTTAATATATTTTTCTCTTTTCTTTTGTTGCGTTTAAATAATAACAATTTAATGCTGATAGCGAATAATTCGATAAACAAGATTTAACTTTAGGTGATCTATTGTTTAAGTTTAAATTTAAGTACATGTTAGAATTATACAATGATTTGATTTCTATTTTTCACCTATATAGATATACCATTGAATCCACCAATTTATTTGTATAAAGGCAAAAATTTGAAACATGAGTTCGGGGATAATTTTCCACCTACCCCCCCTCTCCCCTTAACCTGGAAGTATTTTTCGCATGACTCCAAAAGGATATTTATTAAGGAAAAATTTTGTGCTTTTTTGCGTCATTTTAATCAGCACTGATTACCAGGAAAAGCTTTATTGTTTTTTGACAGACATTTGGATTCTGCTGTGATAGAGGAAATCGAAAAGTTAACCATCCATATGCTTTGTCTTCAAGCGTATTGTAGTCTTGAAATTCAATCTCTCGACAAAAGTGTTTACAAAACATTGAAAATTTTCTGGATTGTTGCAATTGATAATTTCTGAGGAAACTTTCCCGGAAGATCACTGTAAAAACTTAAACTTCCACTGTTATTTAATGAAGCATGTTTGCGTACCGCTACACCAGTAAACGCCTTATCAAGATTTAGATAACAAGAATTTATCCTTTCAACCCTAATATTATCCCGCAAGTAGTTTTTTTCTCCAAGTGAAATTTATAATTAAACAAACGCTGAAAATTCTGATGTTTACAAGTTTAATACTTCGAAACCTGGATCTTCAAAGCCTGTATTTAGTATCCGTTCAACAATTCAATTGCCTAAAATATTTAGAAAAGTAACAACTAGAAGGTCCTTACTTTCAATCGTTACTCTTGAAAAGAATGAGCGACGAAAACTATTGCGATAATTAAACATTTATTGTACAAGAAGTAACTACTGCGACTTGGGATTGTCACCCTATAGCAAAAGCGAACAAGCGGGGACCTATAAAATAATAAAGAAAAAAATAGACTTTCACGTGCCGTAAAAACAGCCATCGCAATTAAATAACGGGCTGCGCAGGCAAGATAAGCAAATTGAGAGACAAAACTGCCCAGTTTGTGAATATTTCTTCACAAATCGTGTTGTCACTCTTTGAAAATAAAGTAATTAATTTCTTGAAAGTTAAAATGGTCTAGGCAATTTATTCCTTGTGAGCTCTCACAAGGAATAAATAGACCATTCGCTGACTAAAAGGAATGCCTAGACCATTCGCTGACTATCCGCTGACCATCCGCTGCTTTGTCTGCAGCGCAAACTCGTTAGAAAAGAAAAACCTCATTTGCTCTTCTTCATCAATATTTGTAATTATTTATTAGTATATAAATAAATTGAAATTCATACTAATAAAAGAGTTTGTAAAAAAAACAAACAAGTCATGATAAATAAAAAAATAGTTCTTGCTCCGGCCCTAAAATTTGTATTACAGTAATTTTTAAATTTAATGTTAAAAAGTAATATCTAACCTGCAGTTATCATTGGCCTATCTAATTTTATTTTGAATGGAATTGAACGCTTTGTAGGTAAACTACCAGGTTTTTTGGGACTTTTAACTTTTTCCGGCTCTATAGGCTCATTTGCTTTTGATTCAATATATCTATGTAGTGTCATTGCTTTCATATCTCCCTCAAGAGCGTCAAGAGGATGTTGCTTTTGATCTAGATTAAATCAAAAATCAATAGTTTTAATGAAAAGCACAATTATTTATTCAAAACTATTTATTTTTAAAAATCTTACGATATTCTCTTACATTCTTGCTCATCCAAGAGAGACTCTTTCAATTCTAAGTCATCTTCAACTTTTGTGTCTTCTGTGACCTCCTCTATAACCAAAATCTTCTATTACACAAACTAACTAGAAACTGATTTAAATTTAAAGCTAAAAGCGTAGAAATGACGATAAAAAAAAAGAACTAAAATCTAAATACTCACGCGTAATAACGTGTAATAAAATTACTTACGCGTGATAACGTTTGATATTATCAAAACGAATAAGACATATAAACGCGTCATCTTTAAGAAACTATTTTCGTATAGTTTAGTGAATTTGTAAATGAATTGTCAAAAAGTGAAAAATAAAAAATTATACTCAGTGCATATATTGTTTACTCCATTAATTACATACAGTTGTTACTCACAGTTGCACTGTAAACGCAATAACAATGCTTCATGGTTCTTCACCAAGATAAACAAATGGTGAGTAACGTTACTAAAACGCTGTTTGCTTTTTCTTTTTCTTTGCGCAAACAGATTTTCTGCTAAACATGTTCATTTTTTAAATACAGACAATCAACCATTTTAAACTAAGGAACTTGCAATTTAAAAAGAATTAATATGAACATTAAAAAGATTTTCACATTAGCCGTCTACACTTGTCCTGATATGTGCAACCGGTTTACCTTAATATGGAAAATATATGAAATACGCACGATTAATTAATTTTAGTATTTAATTTTTTCTGGATTTAAAATTTTTTTAGAAAAGGTGTGCAAATGATAAAAGACTAATTGCAAAAAATTACCAGTATTTTTTCCAATTAAAAATACATTTTTTCAAATAACCGAATTCATGATCTCGACGTGAATTCCGTTACAGTTCTAGTTATTTAGAGATTAGCTAAAGATAAGTGGTCCTTGTCAGGACCACTTATTTCTAAATATAACTAGAGATTAGTGGTCTTTGTCTGGACCACTTATTTTTAAATATAACTAGATAGCATTTACGTATAGTTTGATAAACCTTTCAGGTTATATGAAAATCAAAAAAACTTGATTAGTGGTACTTGTCAGGACCAATTATCTTCAAATATTATATAAATACTAGTTATATTTAGAGATAAGTGGTCTTTGCCAGGACCACTTATCTCTAAATACAACTAGAGATTAGTGGTTTTTGTTTATTTGTTTGTTTTTTTGTTTTACCACAATCATTAGTGGTCTTTGTTTGTTTGTTTGTTTTACCACAATCACTATGATATATTTTTTAAAAAGTAATATTTTCTCCAATAGATTATCTCCAGTTTATATATAATATATACAATATATATAAATTGGAGACATTTTTTTTTATATATATATTTAAACTTTTATTTTGCTGAGTAAACAATTACAATTTTCATATAATCATGTAAAAAATACATAGCGGCGTAAACATAAACATGATAAATAACGTTTTTTATAATTTTTTATTTTATAATATGTATTTACTGTTCTAATCAGTCAGGGACTCAAAGAAGGTAAAGATGACATGTTTAACATCACAACCTCTTCATAGAGCCCCTATAGTCACTCATTATAAAAACACTTAAATTTTCAAAAATAAAATAAAAAATTCAATAAAAACAAAGCTCATATTTTTTAGTGTAACAAATTAAAAAACAAAAAATATTAAAAACAATAAAAATAATAAGAAGAAGAAAAAATAAATTAATTAATTTAAAAAAATACTGTAAACAAATACTGTAAACTTTAAAATGTATGTCAGGAAATAAGAAGATGCATTTTAGTTTCCGTTTAAACGATGAAATGCTTTTTAGGTCTTTAATATTTTTATTTTGGAAATGATTCCATACTGATGGGCCACGGTTTGTAATTAAAGAATTTGACTGATGCGATTTAATTTTCCCTAAGTGATAGTTGTACCTGGTATTTGAACGCAAATTATATTTTTCAGAAAATGATCTCAAGAAAATATCTGAAAAAACGCAAGGTAGGAGATTGTTCTTATATTTATACATAAAAATAATTATCTGTAATGTGTTAAGCTTCTCAATATCTAGAACCATCATGCTTTTCATCACCGGGGCCTGGTTTACTAACCTATTTAAATAATATATGTATATATATATATGTATATATGTATATATATATATATATATATATATATATATATATATATATATATATATATATATATATATATATATATATATATGTATATATATATATATATATATATATATATATATATATATATATATATATATATATATATATATATATATATATGTATATATATATATATATATATATATATATATATATATATATATATATATATATATATATATATATATATATATATATATATATATATGTATATATATATATGTGTGTGTGTGTGTGTATGTGTGTATGTGTGTATGTGTGTGTGTGTGTGTGTGTGTGTGTGTGTGTGTGTGTGTGTGTGTGTGTGTGTGTGTGTGTGTGTGTGTGTGTGGTTTACATACTATGTAAATCACGCATATTTACAAAACCTTGAAAGATTGAAAAACTCGAGAACTTTGTTATTATTTTATGGGCAATTTTAAGTTTCCTATTTTCAATCTTTCAAAGTTTCTTGTACGATATATATGTTAGTGTTGATTTGAAAAGGTTTTTTGAAAAATAGGTTGGGACAAGTCCGTGCTTATATTTGAGCATAAATAAAATATTTTTTAAAAACTTTGGCATATAAAATTCGCCGAATGGTCACACTCGAGTAGTGAACGCCTATGGGAAGAAACAAAGTACATTAGAATAAAGGAGAATTATTTATTAAACAAAGCATATTTTTACAGTTGTCAAGACAAAAATAAAGATTAATAGAGGAATATTTAAAAATAATAAGACAGGCTATACACCCAAAACAGTACTCAACAATAAAAACAATAAAAAAATAAAAAAAATAAAAAATAAATAATAATAATAAATAAATAAAATTGTTTTATAAACACCAATATGAACGAAGATATACAATAAATACATCACCAGACAAAAACTTATAAAACGAAAAACCGATCACAAAATAAAAAGTATGCTAACAACAATGAAAGGCCTAATAATGGAAAAAAAACATTAATACTAATGTGTAAATAGTTAACAATAACTGTATAAATGTGTGCATTATCGGGGATATAAATTTAAATTCTATAACTTATAGAAAATGTTCTAAAACGAAATGATTCTATGATATGCTATTTAAATATAATATATGTCCACTTTTTAATAAGCCAACTCGGGTAACTAAAAGTTCAACAACTGCGATAGACGATATATTTTTAAGCTACTTTTTAGAAACGTCATTTGAAACAGGAATTCTTAAGACAGATATTTGTGACCACTTTCCTATCTATATTAAAATTACTTAAAATAACTTTGACTACTCCAAAAATAATTAACTTAAAAAAACGCAATCAACGTTAAATACTAAAAACTTCTCTCAAAAACTGTATGAAGAGAAAAGGAAAAAGTCAATGAATGTCATAATACTAATGAAGCATGTAATGCTTTTTTCAATAGGTTTTTTTATATATATAATGAAACATTTCCATAAGCAAAACTCTAGTATAATGTTTAAAAAGAAAACAAAAACTCTTTAACAAATTTCTCAAAAATATCAGTATTGAAAACGAAAACAAATACAAAAGTTATAAATGTATTTATCAATGCTTACTCAAAAATGCAAAAAAAAAAAAAACAATTTTATAGAAAAAAAATTACTAAATGTAAATTTGATATAAAAAACTATGGAAATGATCACATATAAGGTTGTAATAAAAATATTTCATCATTTCCTCTAAATATTACTATTAATAGTATTACAAACGGGTGGCAAGTTGAAAATGGGACAAAGTTTAAAAAGATATTACTTTCTAATTTTTAATTTTTTTTTAAAAACTAAAAAGATTTGATTAGAGCATTAATTATTTTAAATATACTTGCTCAAGTAGACTTGCTGGTTGATTGCCCTGCCTCTTGGGAGGAAGAAAGACTTTTAAATGCCGTGCTCTAAAAAGCAAAACCAGACGAGCAATTTTTTCTCGTATTTGGCCTTTGGGTCATACTTGACACATGAAGGAGTCATTCAAACATCGCTGGTGTAGAAAGTGCTGTTGCCCTTGATCTACAAATAAGGAAATGAAATAAAATGAAGTAGGACTCATCGGCCAAAATGCAACACTTTTTTCGCAACTTTTCACACAACTAACGTCATATCTAATCTTTGGTTTCTGGTCCTCTATTCGCTTCGGGATTTTCTATTTTTTTTCTTGAACTGGTAGAAAACTTGTTTTTTGAGACGACTACATTCAAATTATTGAATTTGCGTAGAATTTGCTACAAAATAGATAGTTGAAAATTAACATAAATAAGTTGATACATCATATTTTTAGTCTGCTAAATTTTGTCCCATTTTTAACTTGTCACCCGTTATTCACTGCATTATCGAAATCTCAAAAGAGATTTACAAGAATTACTTTACTAACTTTACAACAATTACTAACGTTGCTCTGAGTTCAGCTAAAATCGAATTTAATAAAATCGAATCTCCAATTGATTCGTTTAAAACCTATATAAATCCATCGAATAATAATTTACTATTTGACAGTGAATTAACGGTAAAAAAAATGAGGATGTCTTCTCATCTTTGAAAATAAATAAATTTCAGGGTTTTGATGGAACATCAGTTAATATAGTAGTTTCAACAACTACAGGAAAAAGCTATAAGAAATCTTTGTTTTAAATTCTTAAACTTTCAATAAATAAAGATTTCCATATATAAAAAGTAGCTAATGTTTACCCAATTTATAAAGGTAATAATAGTTTCAATATTATAAATTAGAGATGTATATCCGTATTATCTGTTTTCTCATAAATATTTGAACGCGTTATATATAACAGAAATTATGGCCATTTCACAATCAGGATTCTAGTACATTAAACATTTTGTGTGGAGTTCTACTAGATTTTATTTTTGAACCTCTTCTTTTTCTAATTTACATAAATGACTCCTGTAATTTATTTACGCATTTAAATTCAATTATGTATTAAATTAATATACTTTAGTCTAATTCATAGCTACATTAGTTATTATTGTTATCCCGCACCCTCCCTAAAATTGCCTCTGTGTCTATGAGATAAATAGATTTCAACACAGGATTTTTATGTATAATCATTTTACACGAAAATTTTACACGAAAAAACTTTAATACAAAATTTAAAATAAATCAAAACAAATATTTTTTAAGATCTAATGAGAGTCTCAAAAAATGACGTAAATTAGGTGAAATAAGCATATAATAAGTCAAATAAGACTTTTAAAAAATGATGAAAAATTATATTAAAATTTGTGCTCTCGCCTGCC